GCGGAGGCAATGCTGGATTTCGTGCAAGGAATCATTGGAGAAAATACCCAAATCAAAGCTCTGACAACGATAACAACTCATGATATTTCTCCCCTGCTTCGTCGTTATACAATTTTAGACACTCCACAACAAATTACCACTCCTAAAATGGTGGCGTGTCATCTATTGTCTAGTCCTTACGCGGTTTTCTACTGTCATCACACAATTGACAATAAAATCAAGGTGTTCAAGGTTTCATTAGGGAAAATTAATGAAGCAAATGGTGATCGACTAGTGGAAGCGATGGTTATATGTCATTTGGATACTTCTGAATGGAATCCATCTCATGAATCTTTCCGATCGCTCGGTGTATTACCAGGAACATCACCTATCTGTCACTTTTTCACATCAAGTAATGATCTAGTGTGGATTCCAAAATCAGTTGCCACTACTCCACTTGTAGCAGCGCTTTGAAGGATCGATCGGAGAAACTAGCTGCACTATGTTCTTAGTTATTGCTTATGCGTCTAGACGCAAAGTAATGTGTTTTAATTTAGGGTGTTCTTTGTCTGTTTTAGTGGAGATCTACTCCGATGTCTATCGGAGATGAACTCCTATCTGTGTTAATTATCTTTGTTTGGCTGTTGAGTATGCTTTTGATGATAATAATATGTTTGTCCTATTTTGTAAAGTGTGCACAAGTGTTTTGTTACTATGTTAACTTTTGAATATGCAATTAAATTTAAACTAAAGCTACAATGCATCTATTTAATTTGTTACACTTTCACAATAAACACAAATTAGGTATATATCTCTTTCAATCCTTCATTAGAATTGAGGTTTCGAAATTGAAATTTCATTTTTAGAATGCAACAAGAACCTTACAAGAAAAGTACTGATTTATTTTTCTCTTATTTTCATGATGAAAAAGCAAATTGCCCTTGTGTCAAACTAAATCAACTAAAATCTCTCCACATGTGATGAGATATTATTGCCATCATTTTGTTTGTTGGAGACCCAACCCGTGACCTTGTCCTTTAGAACTTTGAAACCTAACCCAAAACTCCAAAAACAGCGGTGTCAGTCCTGCAAAGACAATGAGTATCGTTTATCGGTTGTTTAGAATGAATTCATAAAATTTGGGGTCAAATAGAGTTGGTTTGACATATTCTAGAAAATTCATGGATTAATATACATGAAAAATTTAGATAATCTTAAATTCCATATTTGTGACCCTGAAACTCAAAAAAAAGTGAGACAAAGAGTATCGCTCACTAGGTCATCATGAATAGACTCACAAAATTTGGGGTCAAACAGAGTCGGTCAGTCCTATTTCGGAAAATTCATAGTTTTTAGTACATACGAGAAACTGAGATAATCGTTAATTCATGCTTCGTGACCCGAAAATTCTAAAAAAGTGATGTTGTTTCTTGAGAACTAGTGGGTATTGTTCACTAGATCGTTCCAAATAGACCCATAAAATATTATTTACATGATGAGGTTTATGAACCGTCCTATTTCAGAGGTTATGTTTTTTCATACATGTTTATTTAAACTTCGTTTAAACTTTAGTGAACGAACTTGCGTTGGTTTGTTGTATAACTAAGGATGACAATTGAGCAGGTTGAGTTAAATTTGGGCGGATCATAATGGATTAAGACAATAATCGGGTCAATTATCTAACCCAACCCAAATCTGCTTGGGTCAAAATGGGTTACATAACTGGTCAAGACCCAACCCAACCCAATTTTTACCAAGCTTAATTGTTTTACTTGGTCTTTTAAATTATTTTAGTACCTAATAAAATTATATTTTTTCTTTATTAAGACCATATATAACATATCAAATTGAAAAAAAGTTTTTAAAAATATTTTGACTAGATTTCTCATGAGCCAATTCGAGTTACACATCAACCCAACTTTTAATGGGTTGAAACAGATTTGATTGAAATGGGTTGAACTCATTTATGGGCGGGTCAATAACCCGCCCTAACATAAACGGGTTGGACAAGTTGGGTTTGATTTTGCCACCCCTAGGTACAACGGAGGGCCCAATTTTGCAGATGAGCAGACTACAGGCTAATACTTTCCATGCTTTGGTAGCTCCACTTCTTGCTTTTGGTGGAGACACATATATTCATATTTCAATTATTCCTTTTATGTTGATATTATCTTCAATTTAGAGGATTTATAGACAGTCTTAAAATTTGGCTTATGCATTCTTATGATGCATAAATATTGTACAATGATAAGAAATTTCATAAACACAATTAATACAAATTTTCAGAATGTTTACTTGAATTTGAGATCCAAATATTATATTTACTTTACAAAGAATTGCATTGAGTTGCACAAATTTAATTGAATAAGAATATAATAGAAAGCCAAGATGGTTCACTCGGTTCAGTTAAGACATCGGGTGCCGATCACAGCTTGATCATAAATTGAGTCATGACAAAAGTTGAGCCAGTCAGGTATATTGCGAAAAAAATCATGAATTAATACACACATAAAACTTAGATAATCCTAAATTCCTATTTCGTGACCCTGACATTCTAAAAAATTGATATTGGCCATGTAGAAACAAGGAGTATCGCTCATTAGGTCGTCACAAATAGACCGAAAAATTTCGGGGTTAAATGAAATCAATTAGTCATATTTCAGAAAATTCATAGATTAATACATATGAAAAGTTGAGATAACTTATTTTGTGACCCAAAAACTCCAAAAAGAGACGTCGGTCCTTGAGAAACAATGAGTATTGTTCACTAGGTTGTTTCGAATTGACCCATAAAATTTGGTGTCAAACTGAGTATGTCATACATTTCCAAAAAATTCATAGACTTGTACACACGTAAAGTTTAGATCATTTCGAATTCATATTTTTATGACCTAGAAATTTTGTTAAAAAATGGCGTCTGTTCTACAGAGACAGAGTATCATTCACTAGGTTGTCAGTCGTCACATATAGACCCACAAAATTTAGAGTCAAACACAGTCAGATAGTCATACTCCAGAAAATTCTTGGATTGATACACATGAAAATCATAGATAATCCTGAATTCATATTTTGTCGTTCGAAACTCCAAAAAATTGGCATATATCAGTCCTGTAGAGGCAATGTGTATCGTTCACTAGGTCGTCATAGATGGACGCACAGAATTTGAGGTGAAACAGAGTTGGTCAAACAAATTTCGGAAAAGTAATGGACTAATTATATACATGAAGAGCTTAGATAATCCTAAATTCCTGTTTTGTGATTCCAAAACTTCAAAATAAGTGACATCAGTCCTGTAAAAGCAAAGAGTATCGTTCACTAGGTCGTCACAAATGTAGCCATAAAATTTGTGGTCAAACGGAGTCAGTTCGTCATTTTCTCAAAAATTCATGGACTAATACACACAAATAGGTAATTAAACCTGAATTCCTAATTCGTGACCTACAAACTCTAAAAAAGCGACGACAATTCCTTGAGAAACAATAAGTATCATTCACTAGGTCGTTTCAAATGAGCCTACAAAATTTGGTGTCGAACGGAGTCGGTCAACATATTTCAGAAAGTTCATGGACAAAAACACACGAAAAATTTAGATAATCATGAATTCCTCTTTTGTAACCTCAAAACTTCAAAAAAGTAGCGTTAGTTTTGAAGAGCCAAAGAGCATCATTCACTAGGTCATCACTAATAAATCCACAAAATTTGGGATCAAACAAAGTCGGTCAATTATAAAGTCGTATGTACTAGTTGGAGTCATGTGTTTTTTGTACTTCAGAGTGTTCCGTTCCCTGTTATAGTAACAATTTTAACTAAAAGGAAATTGCCAATTCAACAGAGAAATAAAATGGAAAATCTATAGTCTAAACTCGAATTGACAAAAGAGAATGAGAAGATTGCATCATCAAAGGTCAAGGCTTTGAATACTCTACTTTACACTTATCTCTCTTAAATAAATTTCACTACTATGAATTCTTCAAATTAATAATTTCTATGCTATGCAATTAATATTGCCTATTTTTGACAACACACAAAATACTAAGGGTAAAATGGGAAAAGAATAATTAATTTAAACTTGATTTTATAAAATGACCAAATATTTTGGGACAAGTATATTTTAGTAACCTTTGAGAACTAATATATAATAGAGGGAATATTATATAAAGCTCCTATTAATTGTTATGCGTGCAGTTTGAGGAAAGACCAAATCATAAAGTCTATTGTATGCAGCCTTAATTACCTAATTTTATTATTTATGTAGGAAGTAGTTTCCATAGTTTGAACTCGTGATCTCCTGATCATATCACAATAACTTTATCAATTACACCAAGGTTTCCCTCAACGGAGGGAGTACTATAATTCAACTTAAAATGGGTGATATCTGTTTCTGGTTAGTTGGTCCAAAGATGATAAATGCAAGTGGGGTTGTGATGATGACATAGGTCACACTTTTCCTCAACTCATCTGGATTTCTCTTGACTTTGTCTGGATTTCTATTGACTTTTGTCTGAGCCACATTAATGTGAATTTAAGTTAGATGCATCCATAATAATATAATAAATTTTTAATACTTGGTGTAATTTAATTGGTTATAGTAAGTTAATTATTATTTAGTTTAAGTTTACATCTTAATGTTATTAAATATAATTGACATTATATATAAATGTGTTTATTAACTTGATCCCGATCGATATCTATGTCCTTCAATTTTGAGTGTGTACAAGTAGACATTTAAACTTAACGAAAGTTAATGACTTTTCTTTGGTTTTATGTAAATAATGAATGCAAGTTTTGTCAACTATGAAGGTGTATTTTCCCCCTCCTTCTTTTGACTTGTATCTGATCAATCAATTCCTTCATCTTGTTTTTCTAAAGTTGACTAATCAATGAAATGCCATTTATAATTAAGATTTATGTTATAAATACATTAACTCGCTCTTTAACTTGTTTTTCTAAAGTTGATACCTGTGCCTATTGACTAATGATGCAAGTTATAAAAAACTTATTTGTATCAGATATTTATCATGAGTTAAATAGTTACATGATATGTATTTGCATCGACACTTTTAGTACTTAGTCAATAGATAAATTTACATAGTTTGGTGTAAACACAACAATTCATATGAAGTGGTTCTATATAATGCAGTAACATTGGCAACTACACAAATCAAGTGCATAGCAACATCATGGAGAAGCACATTTTCTTATTGATTCTTCTCTTTCTAATTCAATTTTCTATATCAATTGCTTTCTCAAATGAGACTGACCAACAAGCTCTACTAGCTTTCCAAAATCTTATTACAACTCCCAATCATTTTTTGGCCAATAATTGGACCAAGACCGCGTCTTTTTGTTCTTGGTTCGGTGTCACGTGCAGTTCAAAAAGGCAAAGGGTTGTAGCCTTGACTCTTCCTAATTTGCAACTTCAAGGCACAATTTCCCCGTCTTTGGCTAATTTGTCCTTTCTCAGTGTTCTCAATCTCGAGAATAACTCATTCTATGGTGGCATCCCTTATGGACTTGGCCACTTGCCTCGCTTGCAAGTGATTGATTTTCAAAACAATGAGCTCCAAGGAAGTATACCAACAAGTCTATTTCAACACCCGAGAGTTCAAATCATTTCATTGGCCTTCAATAAACTCGGTGGTGAAATGTGGAAAGGGCCATGGTATGTACCTGAACTTAGAGTCTTAAATCTCAGGAACAATAGCCTCACAGGTATAATCCCTCCTTCTGTTGGAAATGCCACAAAGTTGATGAACTTTAGCTTGTCTTATAATAGAATCAACGGCAACATTCCTAAGGAGATCGGTAATCTGAGCCAACTTGCAGTTTTGTCCTTGGTTGATAATCAAGTAACAGGTTCCATTCCTACATCACTTTTTAATATCTCGTCATTACGTTCCCTAACTCTGGGAAGGAATAGCCTTTCTGGTCCTCTCTTGCTTGATGAAGGAATATTTTTATCAAATTTGGAGCGTTTAAGTTTAACTCGCAACCAAATTTCTGGTCGCATTCCTTCTAACATCTGCCAACTCATACAGCTTAAAATACTGTCAATATCTTCCAACAACATAACTGGAGAAATACCCAAAATTATTGGTTGTTTATCGAAGCTCGAGGAGTTTTATATTGGTAATAATCCAATAACAGGGACTATTCCCACTTCATTGGGAAATATTTCCACTCTGCGAAATCTTTACTGTGAAACCAATAGCTTGGAGGGGCCAATTCCACCAGAATTGGGGAAGCTATCAAATTTGATAGAATTAGATTTTGAAGAAGTTTATAATCTTATAGGTCAGATTCCGGAGGCTATTTTTAATATAACTTCTTTGGAATACATTGCGTTAACTTCGAACAAACTCTCAGGGAGAATTCCAACCTCTACTGGTCTTCATCTTCCGAACCTCTTAGAACTTCATTTGTCTGGCAATGAGCTAGAAGGGGAAATTCCTCCGCATATCACAAATGCTTCCAAGCTTGAAAGGTTGGGGCTAGCAACCAACTTCTTCAGTGGAAGTATTCCAACTAATTTGGGAAACCTTCGTGATCTGCGACTTCTTTTCCTACATGATAATCAACTTACCAGTGAACATGAGTTGCCATTCTTCCAATCTTTGGCAGACTGTAGGATGTTGCAATATCTAGATGTGGGTTACAATCCGTTGAATAGTGTTCTGCCCAATTCAATAGGTAATCTTTCATCTACTATTGAATTCTTTGAAATGAGCAATGCTCACATCAATGGACTCATCCCCACAAGTATAGGCAACATGAGCGGTTTTATAACCTTATTCTTTCAAGATAACAGCTTTATGGGAAATATTCCTCCTGAGTTTGGTAAGCTTAAACAACTCCAAGGGATGTATCTAAATAACAATAAATTGCAGGGACATATTCCAGAGGCGGTATGCAATTTATCTCATTTGGGACGATTAAATCTGGAAGGTAATAAGCTCTTTGGGTTAATTCCAGCATGTATAGGAAATCTTAGCATGCTACAACATCTTTATTTGGGTTCTAATAAATTTTCATCAAAATTTCCGTTGAGTCTTTGGAAAATGAGTGGTCTTCTCTTTCTAAACGTGTCACAAAATTCTATAGAGGGAGAAGTTCCATCAGATATTGGAGAACTGAAAGCCATTGTAAAACTAGATCTTTCAGGTAACCATTTCTCAGGCATGATACCAAGCAGATTGGGGGAACTCCAAAACCTGCAGTCCCTTGACCTATCAAACAATTCATTTACAGGCTCAATTCCATTATCCTTTGCCAACTTGATAAGCTTGGAATTCTTGAATTTGTCTTTAAATGCCTTGTCAGGTACTATTCCTAAGTCATTAGAAAAACTCACCCTTAAAAGCATTAATGTTTCATTTAATGAATTAGAAGGTGAAATACCCAATGGTGGTGTGTTTGTAAATTCTACTTTGCAATCATTTCTCGGAAACAAAGGTCTATGTGGAATGCGCAAATTGGAGGTTCCTGCTTGCCCTATCAGTAGTCATGGAAAACAATCAAAGTCTAAGGAGCTTGTGCTGAAAATTGTTATTCCAGTGGTTGTTTCATCCTTTCTGATACTCTTGTTGGTGTCAGCTTGGATAATGAAACGAAAGAAGAAAGGAAAGTCCAGAGATGTTGAAAAGGTTCCGGAGATAAGGACATATCAATTGATTTCTTATCATGAGATTCAACGAGCAACAAATAATTTTGATGAATCAAATTTAATTGGTGTGGGAGGTTCTGGCTCTGTATACAAAGGCACATTATCTAGTGGAATTTTGGTGGCTATAAAGGTTCTGGATTTGCAAAGTGAGGAAGTATGCAAAAGGTTTGATACCGAATGCGAAGTGATGAGAAATATCAGGCACAGAAATCTTGTTCCGGTGATTACTACTTGTTCTAGTGACTATATAAGAGCCTTTGTTCTGCAATATATGCCCAACAGTAGTCTTGATAATTGGTTGTACAGAGAAGATCACCACTTGAACCTTCTTCAAAGAGTCACCATAATGCTTGATGTGGCTATGGCAATTGAATATCTGCATCATGGTCATGATACTCCGATTGTTCATTGCGACCTAAAGCCAGCCAACGTTCTTTTGGATGAAGCTATGGTGGCTCATGTTGGTGATTTTGGCATCTCTAAAATTTTAGCTACAAGCAAATTCATGGCACATACCGAGACATTAGGCACTCTTGGATATATTGCACCAGGTATAATAGTCTCTTTCTATCTCACTTATATTGACTGTTTCTTTTCTATTTTCACAAATCATAATTTAGCCCTTCCAAAATCTAGAACTCAATAAAAGCAAGTGTCTGTTAGTACATAATTATTCATGTTATATTTCAATTGAGTAATTTTTTTTATTTCATTTCATTCTTTTCTAAGAATATGGCTTGGATGGAATAGTGTCCACTAGTGGTGATGTTTATAGTTACGGCATCATGTTGATGGAGGTTTTGTCAAAAAGAAGACCAACCGATGAGGAGATATGCAATGAAAATCTTGACTTGAGGAAATTGATAACACAGGCATTTCGGGGGACTATGATGGACGTTGTGGATGCCAATCTTTTTCCTAAGAAAGAACAGATCACTTCCAAAAGTGAAATGTGCATAGCCTCCATGATAGAATTGGCTTTAGACTGCACAAATGAAAAGCCAGAATTAAGGATAACCATGAAAGAAGTAGTCAAGCGGCTTGACAAAATGAAGAACACATTTCTGAACACATAGAAGTTAGCATCTCTTCCGGCGGTGTTCTTTCTCTGCTACAATTTAACATGTTGCTCTTGAATCATATATCATATCATCATATATATATATATATATATATATTATATTATTATTATATATATTATATTATTATTATATATATT